AGTGGGTTCTATGGGGTGCCAGTAGATACCAATAGGCACCAGCAAGTACCAGTGGGCACCAGTGAGTACCAGTGGGCACCAGTGAGTACCAATGGGCACCAGTGGGTTCTATGGGGTGCCAGTAGATACCAATAGGTACCAGCAAGTACCAGTGAGCACCAGTGAGTACCAATGGGCACCAGGAGGTATCAACACATGCCAGTGAGTACGAGGGAGTGCCAGTGAGTACCAATGAGTACCAGCAAGTACCAGTGGGCACCACTGAGTACCAATAGGCACCAGGGGGTATCAAGGGGTGCCAGTGAGTACCAATGGGCATTAATGAATACCAGTGGGTGCCAGTGAGTACCAATGGGCACCAGTGGGTTCTATGGGGTGCCAGCAGATACCAATGGGCACCAGTGGGCACCAGTGGGCACCAGTGGGCACCAGTAGGCACCAGTGGGTACCAGTGGGCACCAGTGGGTACCCCTGGCTCAGGTGAGCACCACCGAGTCCCAGTGTTGCCAACGGTGCCCGCGGTGCCCCACAGGGGTGCGCTCCGAGTTCGTGGTGAAGACGGCCAACGCCGGCGCCGGAGCGCTGTCGGTCACCATCGACGGCCCCTCCAAGGTGACGTTGGACTGCGTGGAGTGCGCCGAGGGCCACCGCGTCACCTACACCCCCATGGCGCCCGGCAACTACCTCATCTCCATCAAGTATGGCGGCCCGCACCACATCGTCGGCAGCCCCTTCAAGGCCAAGGTCACCGGTAAGGGGGGCACCCGTGGTGTCCCAGTGGGTGTCCTAATGGTGTCCCAATGGGTGTCCCCATAGGTGTCCCAGTGGGTGTCCCCATGATGTCCCAATGGGTGTCCCAATGAGTGTCCCAATGGGTGTCCCCATGGTATCCCTATGGGTGTCCCCATGGGTTTCCTCATGATGTCCCAGTGGTGTCCCCATGGGTGTCCCCATGATGTCCCAGTGGGTGTCCCCATGGGTGTCCCAATGAGTGTCCCAATGGGTGTCCCCATGGGTGTCCCTGTGGGTGTCCCTGTGGGTGTCCCATGGGTGTCCCAGTGGGTGTCCCGATGGTGTCACTGTGGTGTCCCCATGTGTCCCAATGGTGTCCCAGTGGGTGTCCCAGTGGGTGTCCCAATGGGTGTCATACTGCTGTCCCCTTGGGGTCCCAATGGGTGTCCCAGTGGGTGTCCCCATGTGTCCCAACGGTGTCCCAATGGGTGTCCCTGTGTGTCCCAATGGTGTCCCAAAGGCTGTCCCCATGGGTGTCCCCACGGGTGTCCCAATGGGTGTCCCAGTAGCTGTCTCTATGGGTGTCCCAATGGGTGCCCCTGTGGGTGTCCCCGTGTGTCCCAATGGTGTCCCAGTGGGTGTCCCCATGGGTGTCCTCATGATGTCCCAATGGGTGTCCTAATGGGTGTCCCAGTGATTGTCCCAGTGGGTGTCCCCATGTGTCCCAGTGGTGTCCCAATGAGTGTCATACTGCTGTCCCCATGGTGCCCTAATGGTGTCACTGTGGTGTCCCCGTGGGTGTCCCAGTGGGTGTCCCCATGGTGTCCCAGTGGGTGTCCTGCTGCTGTCCCCATGGATAATTCCAATGGTGTCACTCTGGTGTCCCCATGGTGTCCCAATGGGTGTCCCCATGCTGTCCCAATAGTATCCCAGTGGGTGTCCCCATGGTGTCCCAATGGGTGTCCCAATGGGTGTCCTACTGCTGTCTCCATGGTGTCCCAATGGTGTCACTGTACTGTCCCCATGGTGTCCCCATAATGTCCTCATGGTGTCCCACTGGTGTCCCCATGGTGTCCCCATGGTTTCCCAACATTGTCCCGCTGGCGTCCCCACGCTGTCCCAGTGATGTCCCCATGGTGTCCCCCCGGTGCCCCCACCCAATGCCCCCACCCCCCCATCACACAGCACTGACCCCCCGTCTCCCCCCCTCCCCGTCCCCCCCCAGGCCCGCGGCTGTCGGGGGGTCACAGCCTGCACGAGACCTCCTCGGTGCTGGTGGAGACGGTGACCCGTGGGGCTCGGGGCCCCCCCGGCTTCGGGACCCTCCCCAAATTCTCATCGGATGCCAGCAAGGTGGTGGCACGAGGGCCGGGGCTCAGCACCGCCTTCGTGGGGCAGAAGAACCACTTCACTGTCGACTGCAGCAAAGCGGGTGAGTGGGGGGCTGGGGGGGGCCGGGGGGTCTTTGGGGTCTGGGATAAGTGGGGTCAGGGGGCTGGGATCTGAGATCTGGGATTTGGGAGGGGGGATATGGG